GGTCAGTGGGATCCATCCTCTCAGGACCATGAATGTCTGTAAAACACTTCCTGTCGGTGCGTCCTCAGGCAGGCCACTGAGACGAGCAACCAAAAATCAACACTGGTCTACTTTACACATCCTCACCCCGATTTAACTTTTCTCACACGCACACTCTTCTGTCCCTGTGCTGCTGTTTCTTTCATCCCTCTCCTCCTCTGCTGCTTCTTATCTCTCCTCCTCCTCCTCCTCCTGTGCCCCCCCCCCCCACTATCTCTCCTCTCTGTACGTCTCTCCGTCTTCCATGTTGCAGGAAAGATAAAGATGGTTTTACAGCACAAGACGAACGCTGCGTGTACGACAGCTTGGAGAATTCCCAGTGGGTTTTCTCTCGGAGTCTGCCTCGCCCCCTGTGGACGGTCTCCAGTCTGCTTCCACGCCCTGCAGCGAAGATAACGGCTCCTTCCATCCTCTTTGGCCCTGCAGTCGTCTGCCCGCCTGCGATAAAGATGATGTTTGATATGGCTGTGATGAAAACTGTATCCCAGCCTGACATGTCCACAGAGTCGGCTTTGTTCAATCCAGCACTGCTCCCTCCAAAATGTTCCTTTCTGACAGAGATGAGTTCACATTCCAGATCTTTTTGTACAAGCAGAGCTGGAAAAGTACTTTCTGGCTCAGCTGCCAAGTACCAGTGGGCCAAGAAGATTTTGTTTCAGTGTAGCGGAAAACCTCCACATGTGGTTCATTTATCAGAAATGCTTCATGTCAACCCTGCTTCTGTCTCAAAGCATTTGCTGTGTGAAATATTCTTTCAATTATAAGACAAGGAGGATTTATCCAACACATGCCCCATCACATATACACAGGGACAGGTCTGTAAATGCTACAAGTCCCACCAGAGCAGGACCATGAGCCAGCATTGTCTGCAGGGACAAATAAGGCCGAAAACAAAAACAGACCTAAAATGTTTTCACCCAGAACAAATTGGTAGCATTTGGTGTTTGCTACAGACCCCGAGTTCAAACTGTCCACACAGTTTCATGTGGTTAATATTTTGTTCTCGACTCCGTCTCTGACTTCCTAAAGGATTATGGTCTTTTCTCCCGTTTACCTTCTGCATCTTTGTACTTTCTAGAAATTAGGCTCAGGGAGCAAACTGAGTTAAGTCTGCAGAAATATGATAGACAATAATGTCTGCTGCTGCACTTTGCTTAAAAACTAAGCAAAGCTAAATGATTTCTATAGCCCTTTTTAAAAACCCAGAGTTTTCAGTAATGATTTGAAGGTCAGAGTGTTCATTTGTCATATGCACAGTTAGGAAACGTGTTTCCCTGAACAATGAAATTCTTACTTTGCCGTCCACATGAATGCCACAAAATACAAATGAAATATAAAGTAGATAAATAAATAACACAAAATCTAAGGCACTTTAAAGCATCAAGTGAAGGGAGCAAATAAAAATACAACAAGAACACAATATAATGCAGAGAGAATATATGCTACGTGGGAGCTGTGGGGTGTAAATACTCAGCAGTGAGTGTGCATGTGCAAAATGAGTATGTAAACAGTACAGATGGAATTACATGAGGTAGATCCTGATTCAGCTGTTTAGGAGTCTGATGGCAGAGGGAAAGAAAGAGTTTTTCAGTCTAGAGGTCCTGCATTTCACACTCCTGAGCCTCTGACCGGAGGGTAGGGGTATGAACAATTCATGCTGGGGGTGGGTGGGGTCCTGGAGGATGGAGGCAGCGTTCCTACGCACCCTGTGATGGTAAATGCTCTGCAGAGTGCCCAGAGTAGGGGCAGGTCGGATCTCTACTGGCAGGTTATTCCAAAAAGCAATGATGTGACAAATGGCAGGACTTTGGTTTATATCATCATATCACAGTTTCATATCAGACCATCATGATATTATTACTTCACGCTGTCCTACAGTTATATACATACATCAGTATCATTTGCTGCCTTCTTCAGCACCAGGACAAACGGCACCATGTGACCAGTCGGTCTTGCAGTGCACATTAAACACACTCACAATATCTGTATAGAGATCTAAATTTAATTTTTGTAGAATTTTCCCCAGTTTAATATCTTTTATTTCCATGCTTGCTCGGGTCTTTTTGTACCTATGTGGCTCTTTTCATTTTGTGCTGTTGCTACACCTAATTTCCCCTCTGGGGATTAATAAAGTGTTATCTGATCTCATGATGCTCTTATTAGTGATTCTTGTGGGATAGGAGCCGCTGGTGTAGAACGGAGCAGGAAAAACCAAATCCCGGGACTGGAAGCTGCATCTTGTCTTCAGTGGTTTCTGCATATTGAACGTGGACACTTGGTCTGCCAGTTCTGTCCTCTGGGTGTCACAGGTTAATGACAGCAGGGGTCCTTCAGCAGCAGCAGAAAAAAGGTTTTAGGCTGAGGTGAAAACAGGGCCCGTTTGTCCTTGCGACGTCCTTCTGGAGCCGATACTAGAATTAGTTTTGGTAGCGTCAGAGAACTTTGCTGCCTCACTATCTTGTCTCTAATCTTTCAATTACTCTGTGTGTGTGGAGGGATTTTAGAGATAAAGAGACGCTCGTGAGAGCGAGAGCACCTGGGTGACCGTGCACACACACAGTGACAGCACTGATCAGTTAATACTTTATCAGTGTACTGCTAAAATTAGCTGCTTAACAAAGCAGGAAACTGTATATGAATGTTCATGCATATGTGAGTGTGCACAACGCTGCTACATTAAAATGAAAGTGCCCGAACACATGCATCCTGAGAAATCCTGTTCAACAGCTCAAACTGGAATTAGACTCGCACGCTCGCTCTAATGTGCTGTGGCAAATTTAGAGCTTCTCTGTCAAAGCTAATTCTCTTTCCTGCTAATCTCTGGGAGCAGATTCCTCTCCCCCTCTATCACCGCCTCTGTCTGCGTCTCCCGCACTCTCTCAACATGTTGGTTATTCCAGCAGAGGGACTCTGGCATAAGCCATTTGTCAAACCGAGATAGAAGACGGGGCAAAACACACATACAAAGTGAAGTATTTTTCCCTCCATTTTTCATCCAATGACTAAACGGTGTGGTGCTCAAAGATAAGGAGCTGATGGCTGAGGACAACCTGACATTGGAAGCATTGCATTAACAATAATTTAAATAATCTGATGATATTTCACAACCATGTACTTACATTGTCAACATTAATCTGATTCACTGGGAAACGGCCAAGGCCGCAGCCTAAATAATCAAATTCAGTTATGGTTTTGTTGAAGGCGAGGTCCGTAGCTCCCCCACAGCTTCACACCTGTGAGAGGAGCAGACGCCCAGACTGACCATTGGTAAATGGTCTTATACTTGTACAGCGCCTTTCTATGCTTTTACAGCACACTCAAAGCGCTTTCACATTATTCAGCCCTTCACCCATTCGCACTCCCAAACACTCATGCACTCACACACCAGTGACATCACCGGGAGCAACTGGGGGTTCAGTGTCTTGCTCAAGGACACCTCAACATGTTGACTGGACAAGCTGGGAATTGAACCGCTAATCCTCTGGTTAGGAAATGACCCGCTCTACCTCCTGAGCCACAGCCGCCCCCCAAGTTATTGTAGTCATTTTGTTTCTCTTTGTAGAATCTGACTTTCTAACAAGAAACGTTGCCACAGTCACTATAGAACAGAAACCTGTGCACACTAATCCTACGATGTGCAAGTTTCAGCAGAGAAAACTGATCTCAAGCAGCATTTGAACAGAATTAATATCATAGGGGGTGAGAAATTAAATATCTCCCCTTGTCTGGATGTTTTCACCAGCAGCTGGTTCTGAAATAGACAATATGCTGCAGGAAAGCATACGACCTTCACCGTGTGCAGCTTTGTGGATTACGTTGAACATTAGCCTTATTTACCAGCAGTTCTGGGGAAGCCAGTGTGGCTTGGTCAGAGGTTGGTCATAATATCTCCAAAATGACTGGATGGAATACACAAATTTCCTACAACATACATTTTTTAGAGTGATCCTCTGACTTTTCATCTAGCACCATCACCAAGTCGGAAATTTAAATACCTGCGAAGCTATCTTTGCAAATCTCAGCAAGCTAATACACTCAGCTAAGCAAGAGAACATCCCCTTAGCATGTCAGCAGTGGCATTGCAAGTATATCATCATCCTCACATTGAGCTGCGTCTCAGTGCAGCCTCACGAAGCTGCCGGCACAGCTGTAACATAAACACTGCTATCAGCAACAGTGTTAAAGGCGTGAATCACCACACATTCACCACACCTCTACAAAAGTGGACCAGCAGAGATACAATCAGAGAGCGACGGTAATGAGCTTGTGGGGCCTCGGTCTCAGAGTTTATTGGCGTGAGTTGACTGATGTGTTAAGTCCTTCTGACCTGAAGAGACTCAGTCACAGTAAAGGCAGCTTTATGCACAGAGACTCAGAATAACACTTTCAAAATGCAAAGCGTCTCTGCACTGGAGCTTCCTGAAAGACAGCTGGTGTTGGGGCTGCTAATACCGCAGGGTTGGGAGGGGGCTGATTAAAATCACTGAACGGTGCAGGTAGTATTTCAATTACCCTGCCTCCCCTAAACAACTAAATCCATTCCTGGTGCTTCACTTCTCTGTTTGACCAAATCCACAGAATCAAATTCACATTTGAAATCAAAGTGCAGACAATTTTTCAATGTCGTACCATCATGGTTGGCGTTTCCCAGCGTCCAGGGTTCGTCAGAGTCAAAATGGGTGTCTCCTCCGATGCCGGCGCCGGGGAAGTAGGCGTGGGCCAGGAAACCCCCCTCTCCATCGAAGGGTGAGCTATCACCATGGAAACCAGAAGCAAAGAAGATCATGATGTCCGCCTCCTTCCCCTCGTTCTTGATCTCTGAGTATGGCACCTCCTGAGCAGGAGAAGCAGAGTGCAGAGGACAGAAAGCTGCCGGTATCAGTGTCAGTCACACAGTACTGTGAATTATAGATGTCTGAGGCTTGTGAGACTGTGTCCATACTGAACAGGTGAGAGGTCGTAGGTGAGGAGCAGAAGGTGACCGAACCAACCGTCCTGTGAGGACTGCTGAAACAGCTTCAGCATCACTTTGGTCAAAGGAGACTCAGAGCGTGCACACATGGTTTACCTGACTGTATGATTTACCTGAATACTTTGTTTTTACGTGATGATGTGAATAGGCCATAAAGTGACTCCACTGTGTGACGACACCGCTCATACTTTTTCTCTCATGATATGCAGATATTGTAACAATATGTGATGTCAAAATAAAGATGCTGTGTTGTAATAATGAGCCAGGTATAACAACAATACTCGTGTCATTAGGACAAGTTGCTTTACTGATGGGTAAAACAAGCAGTAACACCTGTTTGGTTCTGAATGTCTAACGGCTTTCTCAGCTTTACAATGTTCATTTCACTTATTTGGATCATTTTTAACTCCCTTCCATTGAAGGTTTACTGATTTTGATTTATGGGATGCCTTCAACATTATGCATAAACCAAATCAGAGAGGAGGTCACTAGAGCGTCACAGGCAGCGCAGTATGAAGCCGAACTGACCTGTAACAATGTAAAGCTCAATGTATGTCATGGTGTCATGTCTCACCTGGAAGGAGAGCGGTGTGACGGCCTGCCACACGTTGAAGGCTTGTCGAATCGCTCTCTGTGTGTCCTTCTCTCCCACTTTAGGGGTGA